ATTCCTGCTGCCTCAGACCATACAAACGCCGTCAGGCTAGCCCTTCTTGAACTTCAAGGAATAATAAATCTGCCTGAGGACGCAGTGAACTCGGACGGCAAGGCACAAAGAGCATTCCCGTGGGTCGAATTGACTTCCCGGACTACCACCCCGATACCCAGGAGGCTGGCAGCACGGCTTGGATGAAGCGGGTCTACCTATACGTCGGTCCTCACCAGAGACTCACCGGAGAGGTCAAGAAACTTCCCAGGGCAATTGCCATTGTACGAAAAAAGGATGGCGCTAGTACCGGTCCGGATGGGGAAGAGCAACTGGAAGTCGCTGAGATTGTCAAGTACAAACTTGTCTTCTCACACCGCCCAGAGCCTGTCAACACGGAGATCTACTAGACCGGGGACTTCGACGAGCTCACAGCTTCGCAACCCAGGATCGATTGACGAAGCTCTGCGCCGCAATACGGCATCAGTCCTGCATAGTAGGATCGACCAAGCCGTTTAACCCGCAGCTCACTGGTGGCTCCCAACCCTGGACTGCCGACCTCATTTCGAGCCTCCTGTAGTCTGAAGGTCCGTATCATGGTTGATGGTGAGGAGACATCAGTTGCATTGCAGATCGCGTCTTGTGGGCAAGCTTACGAACACCGTCAAGTGGCATGCTATATCAGGTGTGAGAGCTCGAGCCGACTACCCGATTCTTGACACATCTACAGCATCTTGAAAGGCTCTGAGCACCGCGGACACTCGCTCAAGTACCCAGAAAACCTACAGAAGAGTAGCACATGGCACAGTGCCAGAAGTTTACAAGAACAAATAAGTCTGTTGAGGCATGCACAGCTTGCCGACGTTGTGTTTAGGAGGAACACCGATCTCTCGTAGGGTCCAGCGGCAGACTCTTGGGCGGTCTTACCAGACCAGGTAGCTCGGTCGTATTGGATGGGCAGTGTGGGCGCAGTCCTTGTCAGCAGCGGCTTATGTTTGCTGAAATGCCGGCACGGTTCCGCAGAGGATCTAACAGCGCGTATTGAGACCCTGCCTCAACGATCCTTCGAACATCTTCCCGGAAGACTATCAGGTCCCCAGTGCAGACCAGCATAGATTATTCGGCGACGGCCCGTCGGCTATCGAACCGCTACTACTGCCGCCTCAATCTCCGCCATGAAACCGAATTGGGTTATGGTAGCGACAGCGCTCTGCGGCCGCGTTCCAGAAACTTGGGTCGTAGCTGTCAACACCAGTGTCTGAAGGATGGAACTGCTGTATCCGCGACTCTCGGCGACTGCCTTTGTCTTTCGCTGGCGCTGCCAGCACATTACATGGGATTATCCTTGAGGATCACAAGTATTTAGGAGCGGTCCAATTTCGAACTTCAAAGGCCTCGTAAGCCAAGAGATCAGGGAACCAAAGCGTAACACTCAAACTGTGTGAGACCTCACCTCTAAGCCTAGTTCAAACGCCATTTTTTTCGGCACACATGACTATCTAACTTTCGAAATAGATACGTCTGTCTTCCTTGTTTGTAAACCTCTGACACTTGCGTTTGCCGTAATTTTTTTGGTTGCCCACAGGAGCACCTCCTGAACCCACTGTGAGAGTTACAGGTCCCGTGGAAAGCATCGTTGTTTAGTGCCCGAAGGTAGCGAAGGTTGCCTCATCGCCACTGAGAACCAACATATGTTTCCTCCTGCTGGACCTAAGGACCCACTCAAGCATGTCCCTCCTCTTCCGGTGGTCTGGGAAGGTTGAATCTTGTAGGAGGCTTGTTTCTTCAATTCCACATGGATCAAGTAGCAGCGAGGGTCTCGGTTGCTGGGCTCCATAGAAGACAATATTGATGCAAAGTGTCATGGCAATTGACACGGCAACAAGTCAAGATCAGCCTAGTTCAAAGTAAACGATGCCGAACAGTTTTACTAAGACGTAGGCCAAGATTTTCCCCTATTAATTGACCAACATTGATCCGTGGTCGTACTCTGAGAATATAGCTGTTTTATCGATCCAGGGGCTCAAGGGGCAGGTCGTGGCTCGGGTGTCGCTGACTCAGCACCAAGGCCGATTTCCCCGCGGATGCGATAACCATCATGGAAAGTGGCTCGAAGGAGAGGTGCCTTGCTCTACACCGCGCTGAAGCTCGCCGTCACCAGTGTCCTTCCTTCGCTCGCGAATCCATTCTCATAAAAGCAGTCCAACATGCTCATCAAGGAATCTTATGTCGATGTGGCGACCTCCGCCAACGGCAAGGATGGTTCCATGCGTATGCTTCCCTCGTATCATCTCATCTCACGTCCGCCCCATGGCTAACCGCTCACAGGAATCTACGTCTTCCACCCCAGCATCCCCGGATATCCCAACGCGTAGGCCTCCCCGTGAAGGTCAGCAGGCCTAGAAAACTGAAATTTTACAAGCAAATTTCCCGGCGTCTGCCTCTTCTCCGAGATCTACCAAGGTAACACAATCATCACGACCCCTCCAATGGCGGGGTAGGCCGTCCTCCCAGTAACACCGGAGACTGAACCGCTGTCTCACAGTGACTGGCCCCGTCACGCGCTTCGCCCGCCAAATCGCCGGCCAGGGTTACATCGTCACCGCGCCGTCCTCCTACCACGACTTCACCGGCCCCGAGGCCCTGGCCTACGACGTCCCCGGCACCGACAAGGGCAACGCCTGGAAGGTCGAAAAGGTCAGACGAACGGACACCCCACGGAGCCCGTATGCCTCTAGCTGCACTCGAGACTAACAGCCATCCCCTCCCCTGCAGACCCTCGAGTCTTATGACGAAGACTCCCGCCGCACCGTCGACCACCTCCTCACCCTGCCCACGTGCACCGGCCTCATCGGCAGCACAGGCATGTGTCTCGGCGGCCACCTCGCCGTCCGCGCCGCCGTACGTCCCCTCCCCCCTTCCTCTCGCATGAGTTCCGTACCAACGCGCACCCGATAGCTCGACCCCCGCATAACGGCCTGCACGTCCTACTTTGCAACCGACATCCACACGCGCACCCTGGGCCCGCACACGACCGCCAACGCCGCGGCCGACGGCCCCGACGGCAGCGCCCACACGCTCGACCGCCTGCCGCGCCTCGCCCACGCCGAGGTGGCCATGATCTTCGGCGTCAAGGACACGCACGTCCCCGCCGCGGGCCGCGACCTCATCCGCGCC